TCACTGAACAGAGTTCCCATCCTCTTAGCCTATTTTCATTTCTTTGCTATGGTGCTTTTTAGCTGGAAAGCATATGTGAGGATACAGAAACTGTGGACAAAAAGCAGAACCTGATGAACTTTGTTCCTACTCTTCGGTCTGGTGAATGGAGTGATATTGGAGAACGCCCTTCCATGGAGGATACACACATATGCATTGGAGATTTGGCCAAAAAATTTGGCAATAACGAACTTTCTGAGGAAGCTATTTCCTTTTATGGTGTAAGCTATCTGACCAATTATACTATTTCCTTGTCATAAATTTCATTATATACCATCTTCAGTCAAATTGTATGTGTCACAATAAACATAAAAAAAAAATAGCATGCACAGTTCAGTCCTGAATAGGCCCCAGCATGAAGGAAGAAAGTAGTCCATGATAGTGATAGACAACTTGAAAAAAAGGACAAGTATATTGTTGTGTTCAAGTTGTCCAACGATAAAGTGTCTTATAGTTAGATATGTTTTTTCTTCTGAAGAAGTGATCTCATTTCACAATGTTAACTCAAGCCCCAAAGTTTCATCTCCCAAAACTTTAGGAAGCAAATCAACTTACAAATGGATCTTTTTTGAAGTAGACAATGGCCGTATAATTTTAGATGATGTTATTAGCCAAAATTAGGGATTTACCATTAAATACTTCAATCTGATTCACAAGGAAGTGTTGAGAAGGCTTCCTTGCTTGAACTTTCTTAAAGGTGAGATCATGGATGGATTCTTTCATCATTTTCACCCTCTTCCTCCCCTTTAGAAATTGTAATTATGTAACCATTCTGAAGTCTGACTTAAGACTTTTGATTAGAGCAAATCATAGGGATTTGACATGTAGAGAAAATTATATCTGTGCAGGTATTTGATGGACACGGAGGGAAGAGTGCTGCACAGTTTGTTCGTGATCATCTACCACAGGTGATTGTTGAGGATGCTGACTTTCCTTTGGAACTTGAGAAGGTTGTCACAAGGTCATTTTTGGAGACTGATGCAGAGTTTGCAAGATCATGTTCTATTGAGTCTTCCCTATCTTCTGGCACAACTGCACTGACTGCAATTATATTTGGAAGGTGAGCAAACATTCGATTAGGCTGTTCTTTGGTGTTCTTTGGCTTCAAACCAAAGTATAATTTTCTCAACTCAGTGGCAAAGTTGCACACTGAATTTGAAGGCAAATTGAATGATAACAATTAGCTGATATGTGTTGAATGGATATTCAATGAAGCTATTTCTATGTTCTAAACAAAAGCCGATGTATTGTATAGGTCTTTACTTGTAGCCAATGCCGGAGACTGTCGTGCCGTGTTATCCCGTGGTGGCCGAGCTGTAGAAATGTCCAAAGATCACAGACCATTGTGCATGAAAGAAAGGATGAGGATTGAGTCTGTAGGTGGATACATAGATGATGGTTACCTGAATGGTCAGTTAGGTGTGACTCGTGCTCTAGGGGACTGGCATCTTGAAGGAATGAAGGAGATGAATGGAAAACATGGACCATTGAGTGCTGAGCCTGAACTTAAATTGATGACATTGACCAAAGAAGATGAGTTTTTGATAATTGGGAGTGATGGAATATGGGATGTTTTTCGCAGCCAGAATGCAGTGGACTTTGCTCGAAGGAGGCTTCAAGAACACAATGATGTCAAGCAGTGTTGCAGGGAGATAATAGGAGAAGCAATAAAGAGAGAAGCAACAGACAATTTGACAGTGGTGATGGTGTGTTTTCACTCAGAACCACCACCTTCTGTGGTAGTAGAAAGGCCTAGAGTCAGAAGAAGCATATCTGCTGAGGGACTTCAAAACCTTAAATGCTTGCTAGAAGGATAAAACACTCTTGTCTGCAAGGAAAATGATTTTTTTGAGCTGAGATTATGTGTACATAAATTCATCCACAACATTGAAAATGCCCTCTGGAGATAGAGTAAGGAACACTCCAAGATGCAAATTCTAATAAAATCAATACCATCGTCTATTTGTTTTTCCCATTATTAATGGGAAAGTGAGAAACTTGAATATCTATATCTTGCAAAATGTAATTTATACGCATAACATTGTAGAATTGTGCACATCACACTTTTTTCTTAATTTGTTCTAGGGTGAAGCACCTCAATGATTTATTGATGGAGTATCAGAGGTACTCGATGAGAAATAAACATTTAAACTGTATAAACTTAAACGAAAAACACACACGTCTAAATACATTAACAGCAGCCTAAATTAAATTTTAATCACAAACTTACCATGAATATGGCTTGCAGAAATCTTACCATAATTATTAGCTGCTGCTACTTACTCGAATACATTATGCCGCAAAGGAAAGAAATGAAAGCCAAACTCTGAATTTATGAAAAGTATACGCCCCTGTTGTGTAACTATCAGTTCACCATTTAGGCCACTTACATTAAAACCAGTTTGAATTGCAGTAGGAAAAGATTAGGAAAAGGTCCTCGGTTTTAAACCCTATACTCTACAAATAATCTTGTTATGAGAGATACTATCCAAATTATTGACTAAATTAAATATATGTAATATCTATTTTTAAAAAAAATTATTATGAAAATTGAATAAGTTATATTTTAAATTATTAAAATATCTTTAATATTTAGGTAATTTAAAAATCTTATATTGATCTTTTCTATTTTTTATTTTACAAATTTTTAAAAAAGACACATAATTATTTTTTATAATTATTTAATTATATTTGACATAAGAGCAAAAAATGTGTACATGAAACATCATACTTTTTTATCTTTTTTTTATATAAATCATTTCATATTTTAAATTGTAAGAAATTATATCACTAAGCATTAGTAGCATATATTACCAACAAAAAACAGCAAAAAAAGCATTAAAAATACTACTGAAATTGTTTTACTCTAATCATGGAAAGTTTCCAAAATGCTTACGCATGACAGGCCTAACAAGATGCGAAGATACACTGAAATCAATAATGTCATGTGAGAAAACTGTATTTTATTTGATGAGAAAGCAATAACGAACAGTATAACATAAAAAAGCGGTTCCCCGTCAGCTAATAGTGAGAAAATAATATAAACATCAATTGAACACCTGTCAACCATGTATAAATCGATCCCTGAAAAAATTATAGTTTTTCCTCTGCATTATCTGTCTATGTGCTTTGACTAAAGTCCATAACTACTACAGCAGCTAAGTTGCAAATAGGATTTTGTTGAACCTATACTACGAAGATGTTAGAAATACAACCACTCGGATAATTACGATCTATGGAGGAAACAAGAGAATATTACATAAAAAAAGCTGCAGCTTTTTCACACTAAAGAGAGAAGGTAGTAGACTGATATTTCATCTGCATCCGAGCTTGTATCAGTACGTAAAAATAGCTGAACCATATTCTGATAACTCGCAATGCCACCCACTTGAAATTTTGCTTGCATCACATATAACAGGAACTGCTTAAGGCTCAAAGTTCTGAAGAAAACCCCTGAATAATAGGCAGAAGCATCATTTATACAGAATCACATCATTTGTTGATGAAGGTCTGCTGCCTGCTGAGCCAGTTCCACCATCATAGCCTCATCAAAGAACTTATTTATGCTTACGTCCTCACTCATCCCCTGCGAGATTTAATGTAAGAGCAACATGTATTAAATGCTTTGCTAGCTAGTTATTTCACAAAAAAGGATAAAAGCAAATCATGAACTACAAAGTCAATAAATGCTTTGTTTTGTTATCACCAAGAGCTCTAAAGAAAAAACATTAAAATAAAAGGGCCAAAATTCTATAATCCTTAATAAGTGCCTAGAATGAGGCATAGACTTTACCTTTCTCCGCCTGGTCTTCACCATAAACTCCCGAGCAAGATGCTGGATAGGTGCCGGTTCAAGTGGGCGCAAAACAATGTTTTTGTCCAGAGGATCTCCAGGAACAATAGCCCAATGATCAAAGACTGACAGACAAAACGCTTGACCCTGAGTATGGTATCTCAAGTCTGTCTCAAATCCAAAAGATTCTATCACGGGTAAAAATGCCTGAGATAAAATTGAGAATAAAGTCAGCAAAACAATTTTTTTATCTACTCAAACTAACATCAAGACCATAGTAGTCTAAAAAAACTACATCCATTATAACTGTTTATACGTAAGAATAGTTAACCACCAACCTTAACGATATAGGCCGGGGTGCCTGGCTGAGGAACATCAGCAGTAACATGTCCACGCCTTCTAGATAATACAGTGTAGATTGCAGATACACAATCAATTGGTGTTTGAATCTGATGCAAAGGCCAAAAGAATAATATTATTAGTGCAAATAAAAAATATATTCGCTTCAGTGAAATCACACTATTCCAGAGATATTTTATTTGTCCATTATTAGCTGGTACGAGGGTCCTTACATGTTCATCAATAGATCAAAATATAAAAAACAAAAAATAATTACAATCAAACTTGACATGCAACCATCAATGAAGCATGATAAGAGTATATACCTCCACATAATACACAGGTTCCATAAGCCTAGGAGTAGCCATGAGGAAGGCTGAATAGGCCACTCGTCTGGCTGTGGGAATGATCTGGCCAGATCCCCGATGAAGTGGTTCAGGGGCAATCCTTGCGTCAACAATCTTGAACTTAACGTTTCTGATGGGTTCATCACACAGAGGTCCTTCTCGTGCACCCCACTGAAATCTGTCAAATGACATAACAACTCACAAATCATAATTATTGTATGATCAATTAAACAAATGAAAATAGCTGAATGTAAGGAATGGTTACCCCTGAACAATGGAATCCTTCACAGCATTCAGCAGATTCTTGTCAACTTCAGTTGGTAGAGTATCGTCTAACAGAATATTGGGTCCCTGCATTGCATTTGCACGTGTTACAGAGTTTAAAGGACAATGACAGACTGATAAATAGATCCATAGAGAAAATCTACCTGCTTATCAGGGCCAAATGCCCATATTGACCGTGCAGCAAGAAGATCCCAGTCATATTTTGTCTGGAAAAATTCACCTAGTTTTTTTCTATTCCAGTCAGTGCTAACAACACCATTCTCTATGTCCTCTGCAAGGCCTCTTTCTAATGGCTCGGTAATCTAAAGAATAATCAAGGTCACTGTGAGGGTGATGACACAAGCAATAAACCAGCCTGAGATAAAACGGTTCAATTCAAGAACTAAGCCATATACCTACCATAGTTATTTTATTCTTCTTGTTTGGTGTTTCAGCAAAGCATTTCATTGATGAAGATTCAACAACAGTTTCACAAAATGAGACAACAGGATCTGCTACCTACAACAGCAAATGAACAGTTTAACAAATTACAAAAGAACAGTTTCACATAAAAGCCCATGTCTAATAAAATAGAGAACAAATACTTAATGACAGAATAATTGAGTAGGGAAAATTAATAGATCACCTTGACTTCTACTTCAGAATAGAGCTCTCTCAGGTCCTTCATAATTGAATCCAAGTACAGCTCACCAGTCCCTAATATAGTGTGCTCACCAGATTCCTCTACTTTAGTAACTGCAAGAGGATAACTTTTGCTTATTTTTCGCAGGCCCTCCACCATTTTTGGCAATTCACTTGGATTTAATGGTTCAGTAGCTGTTTTTACCACTGACAGTGTATTGAACTGAAGAGGCCGGAATATATACACATCTTCGTCATAATCCACATTACAAAGAGTGGCAGTTTTCATGATTGAAGCATCCACACCTTCAATTAGGACCCAAGAACCAGGAGGAGCCTCAGCTACTGGCATCCTGTCTCGAGCTTGATACACCCACAACTTAGTTACTTCTTTAACAGTCATATCCTCCTCATCATCCGGTGAGTATCCTTCTCCTAGAACACGTACAGCCTGTCCTGTCTGTATCTTGCCACTATAAACTCTACCAAAGGCATCAAACACACTGCAATCAGATTTTGGATACAGTTTGGTTACATTAACCATTAGGGGGCCATAAGCATCACACTGAGCCATAGCTTTGTAAATGGACGAGTCTTTAGGACCAGTATATATGTGGTCAACTTTCTTAGTTGCAGCATCCCTCGGGGAAGGTATATGCTGAACAAGCATATCAGTGAAGCCTGAAGCTGGACCAAAAACTGAGCTACATGCCAACCTTAGCAAGGGTCTGACATTTAGTCTGTAGGCCGCATTACTTAGTGTGACTCCTAGTTCAGCAAGTGTAGTCTCTACACTCTTTTTATGCTCCCCGATCACTTGGCTGTATATCTTGTAAAGAGGCTCCAGCACAAACTCTACAAAAGATCGCTCGCCTCCACTGGCAGGGGGCTTCTTTTTGAAGGCTCTCGTATCTGGATGAAAATAATAGTCTCCCCACAGTCGAGAAGCAAATTTATTAGCTTCCAAAGGAATTCCATGCAGCTTCCCATACAACTTAGCAAAAGACTGCAACGTAAAGGACCATCCAGCAGTACCACTAGCAAAACAAACATTTCCAGCAACTGGATCCACAACTTGAACATCACCCGCAATCGAGGAGGCAGCAGATATGTGAGTATTAATAACCTCCAATGTATGCCTTATTTTATGATAAGCATCCTTAGGCGGCAACTTAAGTTCAGTTATAAGCCTGTCAACCTAGAGTCAAAACATGAAAAATAAGACCAGAACTTAAACTCTCCCTTAACATCAATCAAGAAATAGTTTACCTTATTGATTACAACCACAATCGGCAACCGGTCCTGAATAGCATGACGTATGGCCCTTTCCGTGTTTACCTACAGACCACAAGACACTAAAAAGCTCAGTGTTTAGCAATTTGCAACCATACCACAATAACTAACTACAAAACAACAACATTCTTTTTTGGTTTTTCATATAAATACCCCTTTTTTGATTGGACACTAAATGAAAACACCCCTTTTAACAGAGTTTCAAATCGTGGTTATGGGAGGACAAATCACAAGAAAATAACAACTCAATGTTCTTTAGCTTCTCATATATAGGCAACCCCTTTCGGAGCGTTGAAATGAAACACTAAACCAAAGCACCTCTCCTGTGAGATTCCAACCTCAGTTCATCACTCCAACTCCAATGCCTAAATGTCTAAACACAAAAAAGTATAATAAGTCATACCATGACTCCTTCAGCAGCATCTACAATCAAGACAGCGCCATCAGCAAGCCTCAAAGCCGCGGTCATTTCATCGGAGAAATTAACATGGCCAGGGGTGTCCATGATGTTACACAGATACGACTTGGAGTTGCTATCCTCCAGCACAAGCGACATGGGAATAGCCTTGATCGAAATTTTCCTCTCCTGCTCATCAATCCGAGTGTCCGTATACCGCGTGTGCTTCTCGCTCTGAGGATCGAAAGTGGACATGTGATGCGTCTGTTCAACGAGCATGTCCATGAACACGGTCTTCCCGTGCTGCAAGTGCCCCACCAGCGCCACGTTGCGCACAAGCGTAGGGTTCGACATGAGGCCCAGGAGGAACTGAGAGGAGACATAGGTGGAGGAGTCCTTCACTCCAACCTCGAACTTGATGTTCCTCACGGGCTTGATGATAGGTTGCTCCAGGGGCTGCTCATCCTCGTCCATGACTAGGGTTTCAACGTCATCGCCGTACACCTCTTCCGCGGTGGGGTAGTACTTCTTGTCCTCCGCCAGAACCACCTGGTTCTCCACGTCCTCCGAGATCGTCGTCATCCATCCGTTGTTCGGATCCTCGCCGTCGGAAGGGGCTCCACCGTCGGACTGACCATCGGCTTTGTCGTCGGCTTCGGCGTCGGAGTCGCGGTCAGAGTCCTGGTCGGACTCCATTTCCGGGCCGATGTAGTTGCCGAACTCGTCGTACAAGCTATCGTCCATGGCGGAATGTGAAGCGTGGATAGTACAAGAGTGAGTGTTCGCGGGCAATGCTCTCACCGTCGTTTCAAACAGACGTAGACGAGGTTTTCGGGCTTTAGGGTAATAACCACTCGATAGGACGGTAGGGGAGATAGAATTTCAACTGGACCAGGCCCGGTAGAAATAAATACGTACGGCCCACTATAATTTTGACTAGTATAAGAGGGTTACTCCCTACACCACCCCACGTTACTTTCTATACTATTACATTTTTTGAAATTTTCAGAACTATCATTTATATTTTAAAATATTTTACACCTCCACATCTTTTCTTCAACGGATATTGACATCCGTTAAAGAAAAAATACTTCAACAGATATGTCACATCCCTTAAAGGATATGCTACATCTGTGTTTTTTTTAGTTTTTTGTTTATTAATTTAATATTTTTTATATTACTAAGTAAACAGATGTGCCACCTCTGTAAGTTTTTTTTATATTTTTTTAGTTTATTAATTTATTATATTTTAAATTAATATATAAATATTATTTAATTTAATTCATATATAAATATTATTTAATTTTAAATTAATATATAAATATTATTTAATTTTAAATTAATATATGCATTTTTATGTTATTAAGTAAAATTTTTTATGTTATAAATTAATTAAAATATCATATTTAAAAAACTAAAAAAAATACTTAAACAGATGTGGTCACATTTTGAATATAATTAATTAAAAAATTGAGTATGGGATGGTGAAACGGATGTTAACATCTGTTTTAAATCAAGGGTAAATTAAGTATGAGATGGTGCATGAAACAATTGATGGTGGAGGGAGCAACAATCTTAGTATAATAATGGTTATTGCGTTCTGCACCTCATAATTACTAAATGCACGTCTACACTAAAAAAGAAGGGGGAAATACTTTAGAAGAAAAAAAGAAGTTCGTTCTATCAAACCATTTCATGTGAAGTGTTTCGGAACAAAAGCTCCAAAAAAATTGTTATGAAAATTTTCAAAACATATAATTGGGAAGTCACTGTTATCAAAGTAAATTTGTCATTTTGAAAATTTTGAAGGTGAGTGAAAATATTTTGAGAGTGGAGGAAGTGAAAACCTACGATTATATAGATATATATATATATATATAGATGTATCCATATTGATATATATATGGGGCATATTATTAATATAAATATATATACCTGTGAATATAAACCTAAAAAACTCGTATTTAGATAAAAAGTTTCAAAGCAAAACCAAATACAAAGATTCTGAAAAATTAAATTTGAATGTAAGTATTATGTGGTTGTTAAGTATGATTTACCAAAAGATAAGATATAAATTTTAAAAATGTTTGTGGTCTTCTAGTAAAAAATATTTCCTAAATATCTTAAGATTTAATTTGTCCGTCCATTGTATTTTAAAGTTCTTTGTGAAAAATGGAATATAAAATAATACATATCATGTTTTATTTTGTTGGTGTTATCTTTTTTTTTTATCATTTATTTTTTTTTTTTGGTTTTTTTTATTGTTTGTTTTCTTTTTAATGTTATTTCTTCATGTATAAAAATAGGTCTTTAATTTATTTAACAAGAAGAAGATCAACACGTGATCACTGTATTAAGTATATTGAAGTCTAAGTTTTATGAACAATTCTCTAATTTTTGTCTTCCTTTTTTAAAATAAAATTACAAATTGTATATTTACTTGTCTCATTAATTTTTTCTTTAGTTAATAGGTTATGGAGACAGTCTCTCGTTTTATCTTTATCTCTAAACTAATGTTTGTGTTTTCAAACATGCTTGGCTGTCTTCATTCTCCCGGAACTATTTTACAAAAGCTTTTGTATCTCTTTTTGCCGTGCTCTCCTTTCTCCTACACTCTAACTTTCTCTCGAGCTTTTCTGGAGTCTAATTTTTTTTTCTTAATTTTTGGTTGTTTTATATAATATATTTGAAAATATTAAAATTAGTGTTTTTGAAGATAATAGATAAATATATTAAAAAAATAACAAAAAAAAAAATCCATTATGCCTTGGGCATCCTTCACTCCATCTCATGTTTCTCTTCTTGCTTAAAAAATATCTACAAAATTACATTTTTGTTTGAAGTTTGACGTTGTTGATCTATCTTTCTAATGTAAAAAAAAAAATAGAAATAATTATTCATAAATAATTTAAGTTTGCTTCTAAATTCTAGATCCGTATTTCACCTTATCAGATACGATGGAAAATACCAAAACAGCAAAAATACGATGGATCCAAATAGCTAAAAAAACGTAGACACTGATGTGTAAATACGATGGAAAATACCAACAAGCACTTTCAATAATACATCATACATATGTAGGATAAGCATATTTATTCATAAGCTCCATATCCATATGCATTACATCAGAAGCGATGGTCGTGGCGTGGAGGGGCCGGAGGGTGGTGGCCATGTGGTCCAGGAGCAGCTTGTGGCGGCGGAGCAGGTCCATGATTGGGTGGCCCGGGCTGGTGGTGAGGACCTGGACCGAACGGGCCACGGTGAGGTGATGGGCCGGGAGGGCCATGGTGAGGTGGTGGGCCGGGTGGGCCTGGAGGGCCTGGCGGGGGAGGGTTTTGCATGTTTCTTCTCTTTGTTGGTGAATTGATTAGCACACACGAAGCTGAACAAAACCTTATATATTGAAAGCAGTGATTTTTATTTCTAAAACTACAATTTTGGAGCAAAGTAAAAAATTTGTCTCTTATCTTCTAAGAATCTACTAGTCAATGTGTCGGTTTTGTTGTTAGTAGTTGAATAACTAACATTCACTTATAGCACGCGAAGAATTTAAGCTCCACTTGCAGGTTTATATAGCTATAATAACAATTCTTACAAGTTTAAAATATAAAAGAATTTATTCAGATAAATATAAAATAGGAATTTGATAATATTTTACCTAAATTTACATTTCAATAATAATTTCTTGTCACCTACACGCTGCCGTAGTTTAGGACAAAAAAAGGAGTACATTTTTTTTAAATTTAAATATATTGAATTTGAATTGGGTGTATTTTAAAATATCTCTAATTAGAAAAATAATTAAAATTTATTGAATTATTTAATTTTATTGTTTGAGTTAGTATTTCAATTTCCGTCAAATGCTAAAATCTAAACACGACATAGCAGTGGAGTAGTTTAACCATTGTATATTTCAATAAGAAAAATATAGCTTGCATCCACTAAAATGTAATCTCATCGTATTGAGAAAACTTTGTAAATTAGCAAATAACCTTGACCTTCATCCATACATAAATAATACCAATCGAAAAATATTTTTTATAAGTGTCAGTTAAAATAAATTAACATACGTGATGGAAATAATTTCATTGACATTGATAAAAAAAATAATTCAAGAAATTGTTTAATAGTGAACAACGATATTGTAATTGAAATAATAATATATTTATTGTTTTATAATGTGTCATTTTCTTTCTAGAATAAATAACTAGATGCAAAGAAAAGATTAAGTGAATTTACAGACCAATAGAGTTGAGATCCTAGGTTGTCTTAGTTTTGCCTAATTTAAATTTTTAGGAGACGAACAAAATTGAAAAAATAAACGTAAAAGAAAAAACATTAAACCCGTTAGCCTTATTTGAATATTTAGCACATACTTCCATTATTTCAAGTGCTCCAACTTTTTTTATTACTTTGACAATTATTTTCAAACCATGTGTTGGATAGTAAACAGTTGACAAAAAAAAGAGTAGATCAATTTCGTTTCAAAAACATCACATGTACGGATTTTAACGGCAAAAAGAATTAAAGTAAAAAAAAATTAAACATTTATCGGTTTTTTTTTCTGTCTTTTAAAAGATTTACCCAAACCCACAACCAAATAACAACTATTATTTATATTAATTAACAAGTTTTAAACACAATTTTTTTATGACATAACTTGACCCTCCACGTACGAATTGAGTCAAGAAAGAGCCGTAGAAAAGAAAAAGAATCTGAAAAAAGAAAAAGAAAAAAAAAAGATAGTTAGACGACACGGTTGTAGAGTGAAAGAACATGTGACGTTGTACCCAATTTAAATTCAAACAGAGTAAGGAACAAACGGTTGGTTTGTTTATTCATCATTTATGGTAGAGAGAAGAAACGGGCAACTATGTTTTGCAGACAAAGTCAATAGTGTACCGTATACAACATTGTTACAAAGCATTGTTTTTTTTGTTGTTTTTCTCTAAATTACTTAGATTTGATTGAAGTAACAATTTTTGTTTTGTTGACTTGGCAAATTATTATGCTCTATTATCACGCATCTCTCTTTATTGCAACCACATCTATGACCAATTAACAACAAAACAAAAACAGACCACATTTTTACTTGCTATGAGCTGTTTTGGCTTTTTGTTCTCCAATCTGTCTTCTGCTATTATCATTTGCCTCTTTTCCTTTTCATTTTATTTTCAAACTTAACATAATTTTAACACCATCTCATTCATTACTTTTACACTGTTGCGTACATAATAATGATAATATGTAATTCAACAATTCACATCTCTATTAACCTTTCAGAGCCTCTAAATGAATCATCTTCTTAAAATTTTATGTATTATTTGTTTGGATGCTTTCCTGTACTGTTAATAATAAACATCGTTAACCATTATTTTATATATAGTTAGTTTTGAAAATATAAGTTATATTTTGAATATGAAAATTTGTAGCTTGTGGATGTTTTTCAACATCTTCAAGGGCACCTTTTTTTCGTGTAAGGATTGATTTTTTTTTTTTACATTTGATGAAACTGATTATTGGTTCGAGGGTCGGTCGTCCTTCTTTGTTATGCTTTCTTTTGATCTTCAATCCTCTCCAAGAACGCGATCCACTCCAATGGGTTGTTGACCTGCAGAAAACACTCCGACGCTCAAGTCAGTCCGACGCTCAAGTCAGATATGTTTCATAAAGAGGTCTATATTTTATCAGGATAGAAAAGCATGATTGTACCTGGACATCAATTGTATATTTATAGGACTTTTTAGGCAATCAAACCCAATAATAGGGTATATTTGTAAAGCGTAAGGCAATCTAACCTATTAATACATGTTAATTGTCCATAAATGACAATTAATTTTGATCGATATATTTCATATAGTACAAAGAGATGGCAACGGGACGGGTAGTGTCTACCCGCTACCCGACCCGCCGAATAAAATTGTACCCGCTACCCGACCCGTTACCCACACGGGTACCCATTTAAAAAATATCTGCTGGTATTTTAAAATTCGCGGATACCTAAAATAATAAAAAAAATATTTAATACATTTTTAAAATAAAATTATAAAAAAATATAGAATATAATATAAATTAAATTTTAATTTTAATTAAATTTAACCTAATAAATTATTATTTTATTTTATTTTTAATTAAATTTAATTAAAAGATATATAAATTATTAAACTTTTTAAATTTTTTGTGGGTAACGGGTGCCCGCGGGACGGGTAGTATACTATCCGTACCCAACCCGTTTAGAAGCGGGTATTAAAATACCCGCTACCCGTTATCCGCGGGTAGTAAATACTCGCGGATAGTAACTACTCGCCGTGGATTTTACTCGCAGATACCCGTGCCCGCGGGTAAAATTGTCATCCTAAATACAACCATCATAAAATATATTATCTGCAAACTGATTTAAGACACAAAATTATTTTGAATATAACCAATAATTGATATAATGGATTATACCTATAATTGATTATTAAACAAGTCTAAATTTTGCAGTTATTAAAAAAACATCATAATAAACATTAGATTATTTCAGTTTATCCAATGTTTTTTAATTCAAGTTTTGATACCCAACTATGTTAAATAACACCCAAAAAGGCAAGAGAAACTTCTCATTTCTAAATAATTTCATTCTACTTAAACAATATTTTATGTAAGGGTGTTTTCTGGTTGAAAGTTTAATAGTGCAAACTCCAATGTATTTTAAAGAAGCGACAAAGAAGTTATACTTATAGTCTTCTTTGAGTCAAACTTGAGTTTTTTTTTTCTCACTTAAAAATACTAATAAATATTATTTATCATATTTCAAAACAAATTTAGAAAAAAAAAGTGATAAAATAAAGTGATAATATTAAAAAGACAAGAAGGAAAACACTCTATGAGTGTTTGAATTGAGAGCCCCCAAAGTAGGGAAATAATTGAAAATGAAGAAAAGCTCCAAGTTGGTATGCTTTCCATTGTGATGAAGCAATAAGCATCCACATCTTACATCTAGCTAGCAAGCAAGCTACTTGGTTGTGGTGTGTTCTATCTGTGTCTCTAATCTTCTCTCCTCTTCTCCTCTTTTCTCTCTCTTCAAGATCATGGGTTCCTCCTCTAGTAGACCCGCCACTCGCCCTTCTGCTTCTTCTACTCACAGGGTCAACCGCTTCAGATTATCGTCTCTTCTATGTGGCACCTCCACCTCTCGCTCCATTCATCAGGTACCCTTCTCCATCTTCCCCCAAAATCCCTTCTTCCACCCTCGTTCCTTAATACCCGTTTCCTTTTTCACGTTCTCCAACGCTTTTAAAATTCAAAAATTTGATTTTTCACATCTGGGATTCATCCGTCTGATCCCCTTCCTTGATCACAGGGCTAAATAAAAGTAAAGCATATGTGATGTGTGTCTGTTTTTTTTAAAATCCGTGGCCTTCTCTTTTTTCTGTGTAGTTGTAGAATGCAAATTTAGTTTTTCAAAGGGCAAAGCCAATCGATTGAGCTTGACTTAGGGATAGAATTTTTGTAAAAGTATTGATTTTTTTTTAGGTAGTTGTTTTCCTTTTCCGGAATTGCTTGTGTGAGATCATCTTTCATACATGAACATGTTCTCTATCTGGTAATTTATCAATTGAATTATACTGGTTGCTGGTTGACGTATTTGAGCTTAATCAATGGGACTATCGGCTGTTGACGCCTAATTGCCCGTTGTATCATTCTTTGTCAGATTATCGGGTTTGGCTTAATGTTATTGTTTTCGCCGGGTGGTTTTAATGATTCAGTAAATGGTGCAAATCTCTAACATCTCTAAGATTTTGAATTCGCCATTCACTGGCTAGCAGTGACGCTCATTTACTTTGTGTGATTCGTCTGAATTTTGGAAACGAGTTGGTCAATATTATTTTTTGCGCGTTTGAATCTATACAAGGATGCATTCCAAAGATCATTTATGTTCTTGACTCATTGAATACTTTCGAGAGGAAAACATAACTTGTTAGTATTGTTTGAAATTCAGTGCACTAGCTATGTGAAATAGATGGTACAATTGGCGAAGACTGTTTAAATAGTTGAATTGATGCAGGAAGTGATATTCTTATATTGTGTTTTTAGATGGAAGAACATTCATCTGAACTTCAGGTTCATTTAGCAAGAAATTTTGATGGTGAAATTCATAAAGTCACTGAGGAATCATCTTTATCATGTACAGAAGCTAGAATTAGCTGCAGTCCCCCTGCTGAAACTTCAACTTCATCTGATATGAGAACGGAATTCCATGGGAATACTAGTGCTGGAAGTTCTTATCGAAACGTTGCAACACAGAGTCAGAGGAACTGCTTGTCTGAACACGAGGAGCAAGCCCCTCCTTGTCAGGTAAGTGCTGGTCATAGTGGTCGTGAATCATATAGTGATAGTAGCAACACAGCTAGTACTTCATTTGTAGCACAGCAGTCTTCAGATCCAGTCTCTGTAACTGTTTCTGCTAACAAGGATGTAGTTAATGACGTTAATAATCCAGTTGTTAGAGGTGGTGTCTCTCAAGTCTCTCAGGAGACAGTGCATCAAAGAAGTTCATCCCCTCAGGAGCGTGTGAATTTCAGTTCTGGGGAAATTTCTGTTGAGAATCACACTAGTGCATTCATATCTATCCAAAATTCTTCCAACTTTGTTTCTCAAGGTTCCAACTCAGCAGCAACTTCTCAAGGACCAGAAGAAGAACCATGCCGTGAGACAATACCTTCAGGTTTAGGTATTCTTGTATCCAATCGGGAAAGAGGAACAGGAAATGATAGTGTGCTTCAAGTTGACGTGGTTACAATATCTTCCAACATTTTGTCTGGAAGCAATGCCGATGCCAATGATCATGACGCCAGAAGGAACGGTAGAAGATTATTTTGGGATGCTTTTTCACGGCGTAGTTCTAGAAGGCTTGGTGATTCTCCAACCATTGTCTTCTCTACCGGAGGTGCCGATGATCCTGGATCTCAAGATCGATGGCTAGTTGATTTCGGTGGTGATTTGTCAAATGATGGAGTTGGAGGAGCTTCTGCATATATGGGCAGCAGAATTCACAGATTGAATGAACGAAGAATGCGGCACTCAAGATCTGAGGTGATTTTAAAAATTTGGAGCAAAGAATGCCTCAAACTGCTTATATCACCTACTTGGATTTGTTATCTGGGTTCATGACCCCTTTCATGTTGCTTAAGCTGTTTGATTACTTTTATAGATCTGGGATAGGCTTCGTGGCGGCTTTGACGAGATTGGGCGATGGAATTCATGTCCACTAGGACTCCATGCAGATGGCATGTGCTCATGTGAGTCTTCCCCAATGGCTGAGGAATCAAGCACTCGAGCAAGTATTTCAAGAATAGTCATGCTGGCTGAGGCTTTGTTTGAGGTTTCAATCTTCTCTCGTATTTACTGTTTGCTGCTAGTTTTTCTTGCACTGTTTAAACTCTACACATCTTAAATTTTAGTTTTGGTAGTGCTGAGATGTCATCTGGTGTTTTGAATTGCAGGTTTTAGATGAAATCCATCGGCAACCGGGATCACTGTCTCTATCCATGGTCTCACTCCCTGCCCCTGAATCAATTGTTGATTCCTTTCCCCTGAAATCTCACAAAAAGGTTGAAATGGCTGAAGGAGGCAATGATGTTGAACAGTAAGCGTCATCATAACATAATCCTAGTTGTGTCAATCAAATATATGTTTTTTTTTTTTTTTAATTTCTTAAACATTAATTTGGAATATGATAGATGTTACATATGTCTGGCGGAGTACGAAGAAGGGGACCAAATACGAGTTCTTCCTTGTCTCCACGAGTATCACATGTCATGTGTGGATAAGTGGCTTACAGAAATACACGGGTACTGTCATTATAACCAAAACTAGTATTCTTTTATCATTCTTTTTTAGATAATAACTTCTCTAACATTCCTCTTATGCAGTGTATGTCCTCTGTGCCGTGGAAATGTCTGTGGAGGGTTCACAGAGTCTTCTGCCAACTCAGAAGTGCAATCTCACTGAAATTGTACATAAAATGTAAATATTTAAATTTAGACCAAGCTTCCATTTGGGTCCTCTTAAAGATACACACTTCACATCAACATTGTTCAAGCTATTGTCATACATAAACTTCACCAAGAGACTGTTTTGGTGTCACCGAAAATCTTCAAAGGACTAACTTGGCATCACAGATCTTTAAGAGACTAAATTGATACGAAGAATAGCTAAAAATAATGGCTTAAAGCATATTCGGCCACTGCCAATGATATGCATAAAACATTTTTAGAGTCTGGAGTACAAAGTAAGATTTTGTATCAGAATTTTATGATCATTCCGTAGTCTTATTTTTCTAGCGCATATCCTTATGACACAGCTGATTTATACTGTGTGTGGAACTTTATTTTTTTTTCTTCCGTTCATGGAACCTAAGGAACAAAAGGGAACGGAGTTTGTCACTACAATAGAAAACTAAAGAATGGAAAAATAATGAGAGAAATGATTTCAGTTTTGTTCTTCATTTATGAGAAAACATCAACACAGTTCTGGTCCAAATTTTAATTAATCAAAAAATATTTTCTGATAATAAAAAAATAGTCTTATTTTAATTATGAATTGTTCACCCGAAAAGGAAAATATGACTTAAATATTCAAAGATATTCATTTATTTAAAATATCAATTATATATAATACATCATCTGTCTTGTACAGTACATGTATTAGAATATGTTACAAAACCTTAAACTTTAAACTGTTTATTGCAAATAAAAATTATATAATTTTTACGTTCGAAGATATTTGTTATAAAAAATATATATATAATGCATAAATTTTAATATGCTGCATTTTTGTATGTGTATTAGAAGTTTGAATGGTACAAGTTTTACAATGATGAAATAATTTTATCCTAAATTAACATAGTAATCTTTGGGTTTTCGGCCAGGATTTAGAGTAAAAGATTTTGACTTTTTGTGTCCACATTATTCGTGAACCTTTCTTTTTAATACGGGAAACATCAAATAATAACTGTATGTTCGAGCGAACACCATTACAAAGTACGAATTTGAAGGCAAAACATAACTTTCAGAACAAATTTTGACTTGTCACCAGAAATGCAGGATTATAGAGAGTAGAAACATTGATAGCCTTGGCTGAAAGTAGGTTATCGATAATAGAGACAGTAGTTACAAATTATAGGTTTTTTTGTCTGAAATACAACGGATACTGTACGGACGAGCTTCGTAGAAAGGAAGCATGATCCAGACCCTAAACTAAGCAAAACCATGAGAAAATGGATTGATGTTACTGCTGCGAACTGAGTTTTCACGGTTCCCAAAAGGGTTTGGGTGAATGTTTTCGTCATTGTCAAATGTTGTTGTTGTCCAGCGCCTAGAGTTGCTATGTCGTTCTCTAGCAACGTTCCGCATGTTCTCCATTTCCGCAACATGGTCTTTGAATTCTTTCTTAACAACGTCCAGCACAACATCACCATATCGGTCACACCAAGATCTTCAATTTCAAAATTACATAAAAACAAGTTATCCAGTGCTGAAAATTCAACGTTTTCAACGTATACGAAGAGGGGTTTGTGTTGTTGACTCACTTGGGAAAGTAGTTTTTCAACTCAGCCTTGTCCACTGGAATTCTGGTGGAAATTGCTTCAATCTGATCATTCCTGTTTGTACAAGTAACTTGTCAAGTTTCATATTAACAAAAAGCTAAGAAAAATGAAATACATATGAGATTGTACTAACGAAAATTTAAGATGTGGGTTTGTGCTGCTGAGTTCTGTTTGAATTCTAGACAACTCCTTTTTTATCTTGTCTCCCAAAACCTGTTTATGGTGTACAAAAGATTTTGCATTACATGCGTCAAATCAACTGAGTAAGGAAATGAGATTCATGGATTGAAAGGATGGGAGGAGGATTGTGAAACCTTATCTATGAAAAAATCAGATGGAGAACCATCAGAATGCAACTTCTTCTTCATTAACTTGGTGTCAGGTCCCTCCCCAAATCCCTTTGCAAAGGGACCTGAAAAGGCCTCATTATCTGACCTTTCATTATGTGACAAAGAACATGTCTCATCTTCTGACTCATTTCTCTTCCATTTCTTGAATCCTTCAAACCCCCATTGCTTTTTGACTGATTTCCCTGATCTTTGATCTTGCTCAGCAGCACCACCACCATGTGTCTCTTTTTGCTCCTTATGAAACAAAGACCTAAACGGTTTCCTCTTTAACTTCTCCAAACCACTACTCTCCTTAACTGCTTCTGGAGGCTCACTTTCCTCCATAAGAATTGAACCTCCTTCACTCTGTGCTCCCTTTGTTTGACCATCCCAGAAAGGGTTTTCATTTTTTGCAGACAAAGAAGGTGAATCAAATATGCTCTTTTCTGTCCCATTTTTCCCAGCTCTGCCAAAGCCAAAAACCGAGGCAGCTCCTTTAATCTGCTTCATCGATGATCCCTGATTAGATCTGCTCTTACAACCCAAATTCTCTTTGTTCACAGAGCATTTCTCATCCTTCAAGTCAATCACCGACCACTCTTCTTCCAAATTCTCTTTTGACTCCTTAGTCTTTGTCACTATCACGTCCCTGGCTTCAATCTGAGCTCCTTGAGCCGCCAGCCTCTGAAGCAATGGCCTCTTAGAAGAATGGTATTCCTCTTCAGAAATGCACTTCGCATACAGAAGTTCCTTGTGACAAAGAAAAATCCAAGTTTCAACAAACATTTTGCAATATTGATAGTGAATTTTAACTTTGTAAAAATGCATGTTTTAGTGTTTCATATGAACCAAATAATTACCTAAACTATTTCATTCAAAATCAATTCTAGATCTATATAATCAACGGTTCAACACAAAATCAAATATGCGAACATTTACTTAAAACCACACTAAACCTGATACTAAATCATCTATCATGAATCCAAGCTAAAAAAGATCCAAAGATTTGCTTTCTTTCATCGAAAAATTACTCTGATTCAAACTGACCTGGAGAAAGAGAAGCTTGTCTCTTAGTATAACAGGATGTTCTTGTTCTGGAGGAGAAACAATGAGGGTGTCTAGCAAGTGAATTCTGAAGGCAGAGACCTCAGATTCAGGCACGATGCCTTCTTTGTGGAGACCCATCAAGTTTAAGACCTGGTGGAAAGAGTCTTGCTGCCATTTAAGGTTGTCTGATTGCAGCTTGGACAATTTGTGTTCTGCCGCAGGTAATGGTCGTTTCTTGAAGCTGAAAGGGAGAATGGTCTTACAGAGCGAGGTGATGGAGTCATGGAGGGTTGAGTAGTAGGTGGGCGTGTAATAGGAGTACACCATTATGGATTGATGAAGTTAGAAGAAAGTCTCTGAACAGAGAATGTGACTTTTGTGGCAAAAGAGTGATGATGTTTTTAGTTTTGTAGAAGTTGAAGAAGGTGTCTGAAATTATGAATTCGTCAGATTTTGAATTTTCGAAGAATACTATAAACAGCCACTTCATGCTACAATTACAAACTAGCCGTTGGAACGAGGAAGAAACTCCTTATGCATGTGACTAGTCCCAAGCTGTTTTCATTAATTATTATTCATAATGGAATGGAAAACAAGTTATTTTTTACATTACTGTTTCTATCTTTTCCTTTTTGTTGACATTTTTTTTATGCAAAATTTATGAAATGTAACACAACTTTTGTTGACTGCTTCATGAAAATATATATGTGCATTCTTTATACATGTAAGAAACATAATATAATTATAAATGAATATGAGAAATTATTTGTGTAGGGTGTCTTTTAATAAAACTTTTGTTTTGGTTATTAATAAATATATTGATTTGGTCTTGAAAATAACTCCACTATTTTTAAAATATTACACATCAGTAAAACTTTTGTATTACTTATGGAAAATTCATTTAAAAAATAACAAAGTTATGATTAAATTAATATATCTTTTAAATATTAAAATAAAATATGATAAATTTATTTTGAAAGTACTAATCTGAATAGAATTCAAATTTATAAATACCAAAATCTTATGTAACTCTTATAATTCATCTTTAAATGTTCCATTATTTGAATAAAGGAATGGATAAAAACGAGGATAAGTATAATCTCATAATTATATCTATTAATTATATAATCTCATAATTTTAATTATTAAGGATTGTGAATAATTGTATTTTATAATTGTTCTAATTTGAACAAAATTATCATTGATCCCCCTAATTTTTTAAAATATTTTACATCTTTCATTTATCCTTTTTTTTTCATTGTTCTCTATAAAAACATTACACTTTTACTCATAAAAATTTATGTAATAGAAGTATTTTTTTTTTTCTGGAACAATGATAAATAAATTGAATAGTGAGTTCCATCTGATAAAAAACCTATATAGAAACTATCAAACCCATATTTTTCAACCATGTGAAGCAGCATCTCGAACATAAAAACAAATAACACAGCATAAATTTGATGCAATCAACTTCCTTGCTGATCCAATCTAAGAAGTGGTACAACATCTTAACATATTGTTGGATAATCTGTTTTTTTTCTTAATTACTTAGACTAATAACAATCTCAGAAACTAAAAAAAATAAATTTCATCTTAATTTGCTTTGAGTTGCTCGGACAAAGTATCCAAAAAGGCTTTTGCTTTGTGATGCGTTTTCTGTTGTGGGATATGCTGCAAACCTCTGATCTAATCTGCGCTTGGCTTCCAGTGCTGCTACTCCCAGATTTTCGTCTGGGTCTGCCTGATTAACAGTGTTTCTTTCCTGATTCAATTCAAACATCACATCACATTAAACACAGACAGAGAGGGGAAAAAAATATGAAAATTAAGAAATAAAAGTGATACGAACCAATAGAGAGGAAGAAGAAGGAGATCGGAGTTTCCTGTTAGCATACAAACACAGAGAGGAACCACTGATGAAATCACGAGAAGAACCGTTGCTATGCAATCGTCTTCTTCGAGCACTTTCAACTCCTGGAAGCATGCCAGACATGATTTCGATTGCAACAATGCTGTCAAACAACTTCTCTCTTTCTTCACATCTCGTCAAATCTTATTAATAATAATAAATACAAAATGGGGGTTTCGTAAGTTTCTAGGAAACCACGACCCTCTGTCCTCGAACTTTCCTTGTAGCTTCAATATATGTGCTGTTCACCTAACTGGTCAGACTACGATAATGCAATATATTATATTTATAAATGGTTACTATTTGATAAATAAGTTGTGTGATTTCTTTTAAGAAAAAAAATTCTAAAAAGTTGTGCTTTTACAAGATTTTAATTAATGTAAATTGAAAACCTAAACAGAAGTTGAAACAATTTTAGGTGAAGTTAAAATAATAATACATTAAAAGAAATATTTATTGAAGAGACTTTCAATATGGAATGGCTAGAAGGAGGTAGCTAGACATATATTTTAGTCAGTAAAACTGCATTGTTGATAGCATGAATTGGATTAGAGTATGTTTAACAATGAAATGAGATTTAATTACAAAAAAAATGTTAAAAGAGATCCAATAACTAGAGAGAAGAATCTAAAATATGATAGGTTTACTATAACTCTTTGTAATAGTGATAATAAATATAACTAAATTAGTTGTATAAAAAAAGAATACAAAAGTGACATCATATAGAAAATTGATTAAAAAAAATTCTATTTTAACTTTTATTATTTCTCAATCCAGAATCTAAATTGAAGATAAAAGAAGTTTCTTCTAACCACTAGAATGCACTGGTAATTTGGTAAAAGTAAATTAACTTTTTCTCACCTAACATTTTATCACCCCTGATTTATAATAACTATATTGCGTTTGTCCAAATATTTTTATCTTGAATGAGAAAAAAAAATAAGAGAAAGTCTATGAATTGCATTTGGGCTAAATAATTTGGTTCAGTCTTAAATCAAAGGGTGTTGCTCCCTCCACCACCACACCTTTCTCCCTCCACCTCCCATTTACTATTTTACCCCTAAGTAAAATTTTATTTTTAAGGTTATTTTTTAATTTTACCCATTCACAACCTATTCCACTAATAACCTATTCTAGTGTCCGGTACATGAGTAAAATATTTTTCTTTCATTTTAACATTATATTTCTTCCTCTCTTTCTTTTACAAGTTGCAAAGGTTGGTGGTGGTGCAAAGAATTATCAAGCAGTCTTCCTCTCGTGATGCAGTGTCGCTCTCGTAGTGCAGTGTGTGGAGTGGTGGAGTGTGTGTTGCTTCCTCAAGGTGCGTATTCAAATAAACCTTCAAATAAAACCCTAAAATAAAAAACGTAACCTTTAAGACATCCTTCAACGGATGTCAAAATCCTTCAACGGATGTCAAAATCCTTCAACGGATGTCAAAATCCTTCAACGGATGTCAACATCCTTCAACGGATGTCAACATCCTTCAACGGATGTCAACATCCGTTTAAGGTAAAACGAATGTCGACATCCGTTTTTCCTTAAACGGATGTTGACATCCGTTGAAGGATGTCACCTCCGTTTAAAAGTAACGTTTTTTATTTTAGGATTTCTTTTATTAGTTTATTCTTTATTTTGAAAATATTTTAATAATTTAATTTAAATGTTTTCATTTATTATTTTTTAATATATTTTTAATGTATTTTAATAATGTAAGGAAAATGAAGAAGAAAGAAACGGAGGAGGATAAGTGAAACGGAAAAGACAGATTGGGTTGCAGAGTAAAACGAAAGACAAATTATTAAACGAAAATGAGAGATGAAAAGATTGAGTGCAGGAGTAAAGTAGGAGAACTAAGTTTGAAATAAATTAAAATAGTAAAAGTAAAAAATTTTAATCTGAGGATATAATTGAAATTAAAATAAATTGGGGAGGTGGAGGGAGAAAGGCGTGGTGGTGGAGGGAGCAACACCCTAAATCAAATTATTCTCGAAAATTAGGCCCATTAGGCCCACTATTAACTGAGTACTTTTGAGTTAGATTTCATTTCCTTACGAATCAGGTTTAAATTTCTACATTTCAAAACCTCTTGTCAATGAAAATATAGAGAAAATTTCATGTTCATTACTGATCTTCTGGGTTATAAGATAAATCACCTAAACAATATTAATGATAGATTAGTTCGTATTAAGTCTAATTTTCAAAGAATCCTAATATTATATAAAAATATATTAATAATGGAATTTCTCTTGAATTATTTTTTCTCCAACATTTTAAAGATCTAACATGTGGAAAATATATTTAAAATAAATTTATCATTTAAATAATACAATTTTATATCATCCTCTAATTTATAATTTATATTTTTTTTTAATTTTACATAATTTTATTAATTAATATATTTCTATGTAGTTGCAAACTAATAATAGATTAATATATTTTAAATTTTTGTAAATGATAATATTGTTTTAAATCATATAAATAGTTTATTTTATATAACCTTGTAATTTTATAATTTTCTTATTTTATATAATCTTAGAAAAATTTATAATTTTATACCATTTTGTAACATATATACGTGTAGTTTTATACAATTTTATATAATGTTAAATATTTTTTATAATTTCATTTAAGATGTACATTAATTATATATTTTACATTGTATAGAATTTGATAATTTTATTCAATTTTAATGATTTATAATTTATGTAACGTACATATATTTATATAATTATATAAATTTATTATTTAAATAATGTTTCCATGGTTTGACATAATTTTATGAATTTATTAGAATCTTTATTCATAAATTTAGTATGAGTTATCTAATATATATTTTTTATTTAAACTATTATATTTGTAGACATTTAATTATTTATTTAAAATTTTATTTTATTTTTTGTATTTTTCATAATTTAAAATATTCTAAGTGTTATTCATTTACTGTTTAATAAAATATATGGAGATATAAGGTAAACAAACTTGCATGAAAACATTTTGTATATTATTATTATTATTATTTTATATATTTTGTTATTATTAATTATATTTATTGAATATAGAAAGTCAATTGTTACTATAAAAAATATTATATTTACAAACGAAATTTTTAAATAAAAAAAGTTATATGGTAAAATAATATTTATTAATGAAAACAAAATTAATTGCTAAATAGATTTTATAAATAAATTTTAAAATTTCAATACACATTAAATATTTCGATCAATAATAAATTTTTTGAATAAAATTGGTTAATAATATAGAATTTTTATTATCAGCGGATATTTTTATTCGTAAAAGTTTTTAGTAAAATAGATTTAAAGTTATTTGTTGGCTTTAATTATAATTCGTAAATCAATTGATAATGAATTATTTTAAAATTAGTCAGAAGTTGAAAAATATCCATAAAATAATGTCATTTTTTCTGTAAAATCTAAAATGAAATGTGTTATAAATAAAATAAAAATAAGGGAGGATGAGCCAAAGATAGTAAACGTACAGTGGTAACAGCAACTATAAACAATAGTGATGATCACGAACAATCATGAAAGAATTGAAGGAAAATAAAGAATGAGAATAAAAATAACAAAAAAAAA